CTCAAACAGATGCCGGTCATCTCCTGTAGAGAAGCTCCCCCTGCCCCACTCACAAAACCCCCGTCCCCCGCTGCCCAGAAGCCGCAGGGCGTTGTCCATCCTTGGGCAGGTGCAGGCAGAGCACCTGAGGCTCCTCAGGGGCGCTGGGCCTTCAGACGTTTCCTGCGGCCAGCCTTGGCCCCACGCTGGGCACCCTTCATCAGGCCCTTGAACTGGCCCTGCATTTTCGCCCGCTTCCTGGAGGGAGGAAGGAGCAGGAGGCTGGGTTAGTGCGGGCACTGGGCACAGCCGATGCACAGGGATGCTCCAAGCTCCGCAAGGAGTGGTGCAGAGGCTGGCAGGGAGTTCCCTGACCCACAAAAAAAGTAACAACAAAAAGCAGGATCAAACCCGTGTTTTGGCCCCATTCCCCACCCTGTGCCCTTCCCGGCTAGTCTCACCTTTTGTTGAGTCTAGCTCTGTTCAGGGGGATGTAGGCGTAGGGGTCGAGCTGGCCCTTCTTCTTCACATCGCCTTTGCCTTTCTGTGGGAGATAGTGACATGGGAGAAGATGCAGCACCAGGGGAGATGCATGTGTCCTGTTCTGGTACAACCCTGGCACCCGGGCACCCCAAAGACTATGTTGTAGTGGGGTGCCAGCTGAGCACATGGCCCTTGGAGCTGATTTCCCACCCAGATGATGCTATGGACACCTGCTTTGAGCAGTGAAGAGCAACTGGCCACAGCAAGGGTAGGACCAGGACTCCAAGATGGACCGGAAATGTTCACAGGTACTAAGTGTTTGGCAACTCCTCTTGGAGCAAAGATTTATCGCCTCCAGCCTTAGCATTGCTGGACCAGACCCTCAGCAAACGCCCAGTGCTTCCTGCCCCCCAGGCCAGCAGCAATCCTACCCCAGCAGAGCCCCAGGCATCTCCCTACCCAAACTCTGCGACCCCCCAGGTCCCTCACCTTGGATCTGTACTCCGCACCGAAGGCTGGCTCCTTGTCCAGCTGCCGGTGGATCCCAGAGCCTCCAGCTGGAAAACAGGGAACGTGTGTTGAAAAGGGGCCCCAGGGCTCCCCCTTCCCATTTCCTATGCTAGAATGCACCAGGGCTGGGGAAGCTGTTACTGGTTTTGCCTCCAGCTCTTGGGTGTGAGGACAGCGGAGAAGGGTTACCATTTCCCGTGAGCAAAGACCTCTGCTCCCACTGTCCTGCAGCAGCCCATTAAGATGGTTGCGTGGTTCTGGTCCCCTGGGAAGCCCCAGACCGGGCACAGGCGAAGGACTTACCTCTGTACTGAGGGTAGGTGCCGTCGGGTTCCTCATCATCTGGCTCTTCTCTGAACCGACGCTTCTGGTTTTTCTTCTGCAGAAGAAGGCAGTAGGGACCTTGTAGCTGGCTTGTCCTCACAGTTCTGCCCTCCCACGGACTCCTGACCTGCTTCCTCCCATGGGGGCCCAGAGACCTTCCAGAGTACCTGTGCACATCCCCTGCCCCAGCCAGCCTCCCGCACCCCTCCAAGCAGCTGGTGCATGCCCGGTGGCCCCACCGCCCTCTTGGGCAGAACTGCAGCTGCCGCGGCACAGGCAGGGGTTTGGCACAGCCAAGTTCCCCCAGCATCTCCTCGGAACCACGAGCCCTGTACTCACACTGCGGAGACCCACATCTTGCAGCACGTCTGCCATCTCCTCGTCTGCTCCTACGGCACAGGGCAAGAGGGTCAGTGCAGGATGCGGGTGCAGGAGAGACCCTGTACTGTGCCAGCCCCCAGAGCAGGCTGCAGGAGCAAGGTGCCCCTGCCAAACTGGCACTGGTGGCCATGTCCCCTTCCAGCCCCCTCCTGGCGATGGAAGGGGGTGCCTCCCCTGGGTGGCAGTGGCCCAGAGGAGACCCACTGTGTGTGACACAAGGTCGCACCAACCCCTGCCGCTTCCACCCACATCCCTCCCCAAGCTCCCACATACAGGTGGCAGGCAGAAAAACAGAGTACAAGAGCAAGTCTAGCGTGCCCCCCCACCAGCCCAGGCAGTACCTTTGGCTTCATCACCGTCCACCTCCTCCTCCTCTTCATGGATGATCAGGCGCCCGTCCTCAGACACCTGGAAGTTGTGGCTCACTCCTCTGGAACGCCTGGGGCCTGGCTTGGTGGCTGCTCACAGAGAGGTGCGTCAGGGTCTCCAAAGGACCCATTCCCGGGGCAGTCGTACCCCGAGAGCCCCTGTGCATCACACCAGCTCCCCGCCCCATCCATCCCACCCCAACCACATCCAAAGCTCCGCTCCTCACCCAGCACCCGCTGGGACACGTTGGGGTCCAGGAAGTTGAGGGGCTCATCCTCTTCCCCTTCCTTCAGCCAGGCCTGCCCCTTCTGCCGTGCTTGCTTCCTCCACTCCTTGCTCCGCTGCCGTTCCTCCTCTTCCTCCTCCTCGTCCTCTGAGTCAGCCAGGATCTCCTCCATGCTGGTCAAAGGCAGAGAGGATGATGGAAATGGAATAAACCCAGGGGTGCAGACCCACAGCGCACAGCAACCCCAGTGCTGGAGATGTCCCCATCCCCAGATCCAAAGGAGCTGCTCCTTCTTCACCCCTGGCCAATCTTTACCTGTCTCCTCTGGGCTGTGCCGGTGGTGCCTCCTCTTCATCTGTATCCGCAGCCGCCTGCCTCAGGGCGCGCTGCTTGCGGCTCCGGCTTTCCGCCTTGCGGATGTTCACCAGCACCTTGTGGTACTCGGCCGGCAGCAGTCCCTTCACCAGCTCGAAGCTGAGGAGCACACAGAGAGTGGTCAGTGCCCACCTCCTCCCGCACCGCTTCCCAGGAGCTCCCCCGCTGCCGCTGCACAGGTCCAGCGTGACCCAGGAGCCCCCAGCTCACCCAAACTTGCGGATGAACTTGGTGAAGAGGTTTCGCAGCTTCATACGGAAGTGGCGTCTCATGTCATCCGAAAGGTTCCCCACAGCCTCCAGCTGCCAGGACAGAGACCCTGAAGACCAAAGCACCCCTGCCCCGGGCACCCGGCCGCCCACCCTTCCCCTGCACGGCCACCTTGCTCACCCTGCTGCCGTGTCCCCACACCCACCCCAGGCAGGGCCGTGGGGAGCTCTCCCTGCTTGGCAGGGCCAGTTCACAGGGGTTCTCTGGCAGGTCCATGCCAGCATTCGGGAGAGGGACCTCCTCACTGCCTTCTCAGCCACAGAGGATCAAGGTTGTGCCCCTGGCTCCCGGGCAGAAGCAGGGTGCAGCTGGAGATGCCCCCAGCTGCCCAAGGCAGCCCGAGCTCTGCCCTGCCATCGTCCTCAGGGCACCCTGCGTGGGATCTCACCATCTCCTGGACGTGCTTGGCCAGCAGCTTGGTGTCAACCAGCAGCAGCGTGACCTTGATGAAGCCCAGGGCTGCCTTCACCACGTCCCGCGTGCGGGAGGCCAACAGCAGGCAGACGTTCTGCAGGAGCTGCTCCACCACGCTCAGCTCCAGGTGATCTGCAACCATGGCAAGGCTCAGCCACAGCTGGCTTCCTCAGCACCCACCTTCACCGGAGGGTGCTGCCTCGTCCCCCCAGCCCTCCTGCTCCTGCTCACCTTTGAACTCAAAGAACAGGCGGGTCAGTGCCAGCACTGTGCAGCTGATCATGGTGACCGAGCCTGTGAGCCCCGCGTAGACCAGGAGCAGGAACCGCTGCATGGCCTCTAAAGGAGGGGAATGATTCAGGCCCCCACTTGCCCCCAGCCCAGCAGCATGCCTGGCGTGTTTCAGCGGGGTGCTGGGCTTGGGTCTGATCCCCCTGGGGCCAGAGCAGCTGTGGGGCTGAGTAAGTGGAACAGGAGCTCACCTTGGGGGGTGGGCCCAAAGCGGATGAAGGCATGAGCCATCTCCACGAGCAGCACGAAGGCGTTCTTGCGGGCCCCCACTGACACCTCCTTGGTGCAGAGGATGACCTGGAGGCACATGGGCATATCATAACCCTGCTGTCCCCCCTGCCATAGCCAGAATCAGCTGCGTCCCCCCAGGGACCACACTCACCTCTGGGACCAGGGCAGTGATGAAGGGCTCATGCTCTGCGGAGAGCTGCTTCACGATGTGGAACAGGCACTTCAGCCGGGGCTGGGGAAAGAAACAGCCCAGCGCTGGTACAACCAGGGACACACACCTGGCTGCCCCCACCCCATCCCCTTCTGGCAGGGGACGAGCTCAGCCACCGCAGCCCTTGCTCTCACCCTCTTGGCCGGGGACGCCGCACTTTTGAGCGAGTCCAGCAGTGCTGCCTGCAGATCTGGCAGGTGGGAGCGGATGAAGGCCTGGCAGGGGGCATGGGGAGCGGCACACACCTCCTCCAGCACGCGGTACGCCTTCTTCTGCATGCTGCGCTCCTTGCTCTGCGGGGACAGCCAACACGTCCCTGCCGTCAGGGCAGCACCTCGCCACGGTGTCTGAAGGGACCCCCGCAGCACTCCACGGCACCCAGCAAAGACCTGTCCCCTACAGCAGCTGCTCAGCCCCCCAGAGTGTGGGTCCAAGCTGGCAGCAAGCAGAAGGTGCCCCCCTGCACCCCCTGCGCCTGTCGGGGCTAGGGTCCAACTCACCTGGAGAGAAGGCTGGATGGTGCGGTACAGGGAGCCCAGGGACTGCTCATCAGCATAGGGTGCCATTGCCACCACCAGGTCCAGGATGGAGAGTCTGCAGCAGAGAAGGACATGCAGGTGGGTAACTGCAGCATCACTAACACTGCCCAGCCAAGCTGGGACTCTGGCTGCGAGTCTCATCGGATGCACGAGGGTGGCACATCCCACACGGGACAGTACAAGTGCCCTAGCGCTGCTCACCAGGAGGAAGCTCGCAGCTTTACTCATTAGCACCAGCCCCTGGGTGTTACCTGGCAAACTCAGAGCTCTCAGGACTGGTCAGCTTCTCGCTGGCTTTCTGCAGGAACCCACACACCATCTGCAGGACAGGCACACAGAGCAGGATCAGTACTGACTGAAAGGAGCGCTTTTTCAGGAGTTTGCAATCCACCTGGCAAACACCTTGCCACAGGACTTTGTGGAGACCAGAAGCACCAGCAGGCCCAAAAAGAGCTGGGCAAATTCCCAAAGGGCTCACACACAGTGTGCCAGGTGTGGCTGCAAGACTGGGAAATCCCAGACTGCTGGCTGGGAAGGGCTCCCTCCCCGTGAGGGCAGGGAATAGCTGCTCTCTGCCCAGCTTCTTTCTTCCTGTCCTCTCCAGTCAGGCACCCACCACAGCCCCATCAAACTGGGTCCGGCTGGGAGACGCTGGCCTGAGCCAGCACAGCCGGCCCCACTGCCCCAGGCTCCCCTCACCTGGGGGTCGGTGATGGTCAGATAAGCACGGACAGTGTCCAGCACAGAGCGGCGCTGAGCGCTGCTGCCCCCATCTTCCTCGGGCTGGCTGTACACATTGAACAGGATGGGCAAGAAATTTTTGGCAAAGCGACCCACTTCTGCCCGCTCCGCATCTGGGGAGAGGATGACAAAGGTGTGCAGATCAGCGTCCCCCCTCTCCAGGTCACTGCAGGGGACAGGGACCCACCACGAGGGTCTGTCCCCCCCCCAACCTGTCTCGCATCCTTTGTGGATGAGGGTGCGCAAGGCCTGGCACACGGTGGGGCGCAGGTCCGGGCGCTCGCTGATGGCCATGCCCAGGGTGCGGGCCAGCCCCTTGAAGGCCCCCAGCACGTCCGTGGGGTGGGTGCAGAAGCCAGGCAGCAGGGTCCAGACCTGGAAAGCAAAGGGAGAGGTGGGAGGCCAGCACCCTTTGCCCAAGTCACTGCTCCCCAGCCTGGCACTGCAGATACTCCACGGCCCAGCTCCCAGGCACTCCTCGTTACCTGCCA